ATAAATATACCTCAGACTAAAGTTAGGATAATTTAATTGACATTTTGGATTCCTTGCAGGTCAGGGAATATTTTGAATGTAAACTTCATATATTTGCACAAAAGATAAAATATTTGCTTTGTGTAACCAAATTATTACATTGGATCTAAAATTTGTATGCCTAATGCAAAACCATGGTGTTTATATTCAAAATGATCATCATATTGTAAGAATTCCTGAATGTAAATTATATTCTGGCCGGGTAATTTGTATGAATTTTATGAGCTAAAACAAATTTCATCAGGTAATAAAAAAATATTCTTCACGACACTATTTGTCAATCAAAGTACCCCACCTTGCCTCCCCACCTTCCCTCCCTACCAGAGAAATGTTGGGTGAAAAACTAGATTTTAACTTTAAGTAATAAATAATACCTAAGACTAAAGTTAGGATAATATAATTGACATTTCTGGATTCCTTGCAGGTCAGGGAATATTTTGAATGTAAACTTCATATATTTTGCACAAAAGATAAAATATTTGCTTTGTGTAAACCAAATTATTACATTGGATCTAAAATTTGTATGCCTAATGCAAAATCCATGGTGTTTATATTCAAAATGATCATCATATTGTAAGAATTCCCGCAATGTAAATTATATTCTGGCCGGGTAATTTGTATGAATTTTATGAGCTAAAACAAATTTCATCAGGTAATAAAAAAAAAAATATTCTTCACGACACTATTTGTCAATCAAAGTACCCCACCTTGCCTCCCCCACCTTCCATCCCTACCAGAGAAATGTCTGGGTGAAAAAACTAGATTTTAACTTTAAGTAATAAATAATACCTCAGACTAAAGTTAGGATAATGTAATTGACATTTCTGGATTCCTTGCAGGTCAGGGAATATTTTGAATGTAAACTTCATATATTTTGCACAAAAGATAAAATATTTGCTTTGTGTAAACCAAATTATTACATTAGATCTAAAATTTGTATGTCTAATGCAAAATCCATGATGATTATATTCAAAATGATCATCATATTGTAAGAATTCCAGCAATGTAAATTATATTTTGGCCGGGTAATTTGTATGAATTTTATGAGCTAAAACAAATATCTTCAGTAAATATACAAAGAAATATTCTTCAAGGACACTATCTGTCAATCAAAATACCCCACCTCTGCCCTCCCTCCCTTCCTACCCCCCACCCCCCACCTTCCCTCCCTACCAGAGAAGGATTGGGAGAAAATAGTATATATACATTTTTAGTAATAAATAATAACCCAGACTAAAGTTAAGATAATATAATTGACATTTCTAGATTCCTTGCAGGCCAGGGAATATTTTGAATGGAAACTTCATATATTTTGCACAAACGATAAATTATTTGCTTTGTGTAAACCAAATTATTACATTATATCTAAAATTTGTATGTCTAATGCAAAATCCATGATGTTTATATCATCATATTGTAAGAATTCCAGCAATGTAAATTATATTCTGGCCGGGTAATTTGTATGAATTTTATGAGCTAAAACAAATATCTTCAGTAAATAAACAAAGAAATATTCTTCAAGGACACTATCTGTCAATCAAAATACCCCACCTCCGCCCTCCCTCCCTTCCTACCCCCCACCTTCCCTCCCTACCAGAGAAGCGATTGGGAGAAAATAGTATATTTACATTTTTAGTAATAAATAATAACCCAGACTAAAGTTAGGGTAATATAATTGACATTTCTAGATTCCTTGCAGGTCAGGGAATACTTTGAATGTAAACTTCATATATTTTGCACAAATGATAAAATATTTGCTTTGTGTAAACCAAATTATTGCATTAGATCTAAAATTTGTATGTCTAATGCAAAACCCATGATGTTTATATTCAAAATGATCATCATATTGTAAGAATTCCAGCAATGTAAATTATATTCTGGCAGGGTAATTTGTATGAATTTTATGAGCTAAATAAAAAAAAAATTATACTTCACCGTGTATATGAGTAGTTGCACCGCGGAAAGTGAAAGTCTGGTTCTGGCAAGGTACCACGTAAATGAGAAAATCGCGGACGGAAAGAGAAAATCGCGGAAAGTGAAACCGTGTAATGCGGGGTAATACCTAATCTAAAATGGGTGTCTCTTTTTCTTCTCAGCACCACAAAACTCACTTTTTAGCTTGCCCGCCATTTTAAAGTGAATTTCAAACGAAATTTTCTCTGTGTACTGATGTTGGGACTCGAACATACGTGATTTGACAAAATTTTGGTACGACTTAGGCAGGTCGTAAGTGCGGGTGGTCGTAAGTCGAGTAGGTCTTAAGTCGGGGAGGAGCTGTGTATGTATATATATATATATATATATATATATATATATATATATATATATATATATATATATATATATATATATATATATATATATATACACAGTATTACCCCGCCTAACGCGGTTTCACTTAACGCGTTTTATCATATACGCGGTGCCTCGCCAGAGCTGAACTTTCACTTAACACGGATTTTTTCCACATATACGCTGTGAGTGTCCGGCTCGAGACGCTATTTTTAGATTTGCCCCACCCGCCACCCTGCCTGACTGCCTGTTTTAGCTCATAAAATTCATACAAATTACCCGGCCAGAATATAATTTACATTGCTGGAATTCTTATAATTTGGTGATCATTTTGAATATAAACATCATATTTTTGCATTAGACATACAAATTTTAGATAAAAAATTTTCTCAAATTAACTATGTTATCTTTTGTGCAAAATATATGACATTTATATTCAAAATATTCCTGGTCTTACAAGGAATCCAGCAATGTCAATTATATTATCCTAACTTTAGTTTGAGGTATTATTTATTAAAATTTAGTGGTTATCCCACACATCTCCTTGGGACGGTTGGTGGGGGGTGGGGGGGAGGGAGGGACCGACCGACCATCTGTTACCCTGTGAAGAATTATTTTTTTTTTATTAACTGAAGATATTTGTTTTAGCTCATAAAATTCATACAAATTACCCGGTCAGAATATAATTTACATTGCTGGAATTCTTATAATTTGGTGATCATTTTGAATATAAACATCATATATTTTGCATTAAACATACAATTTTTAGATAAAAAATTTTCTCTAGGTAACTATGTTATCTTTTGTGCAAAATATATGACATTTATATTCAAAATATTCCTGGTCTTACAAGGAATCCAGCAATGTCAATTATATTATCCTAACTTTAATCTGAGGTATTATTTAATACTAAATGTTAAAAACTCTGGAAGGGAGGATTGGTGGGGGGGGGGGGAGGGTTGGGACTGACCGCGCGGTTGGAAGAGGGGGGGAGGCAAGGTGGGGTACTTTGATTGACAGATAGTGTCGTGAAGATTATTTTTTTTTTTATTAACTGAAGATATTTGTTTTAGCTCATAAAATTCATACAAATTACCCGGTCAGAATATAATTTACATTGCTGGAATTCTTATAATTTGGTGATCATTTTGAATATAAACATCATATATTTTGCATTAAACATACAATTTTTAGATAAAATTTTTTCTCTAGGTAACTATGTTATCTTTTGTGCAAAATATATGACATTTATATTCAAAATATTCCTGGTCTTACAAGGAATCCAGCAATGTCAATTGTATTATCCTAACTTTAGTTTGAGGTATAATTTATTAAAATTTAGTGGTTTTCCCCAAAAAATTTCTCTGAGAGGGAAGAGCCGGCAGTGTAGTGTGAGAGTGGGAGGGAGTTGAGTCCATTATTTGAATGGACATTAACTTGGCGACTGTATTTCTCTTTTCTCTTAAGTATTAATTGTGTGCATGTACCATCATAAAATTAAGATGTTATTTTTACTACAACATAGGTATGTGCCTTCAAAAAGTGGAGTTTGGGGGTCGGGCCGGTTTCTATTGGAATTAATCCCATATGTTCTGTTGTTCACTTAACGCGGATTTCACTTAACGCGGGACCCTCTGGGTTCAATTGACCGCGTTAAGTGGGGTACAACTGTATGTATATATATATATATATATATATATATATATATATATATATATATATATATATATATATATATATATATATATATATATATATATATATATATATATATATATTATTTGGGTATTTTTTCTTTTTTAAGTACAGTACAGTGAAATTACTGAAGTTAAAAACTTCCTACATCTTTATGTGATATATTATATGGTTGGATGAGGGTAGTATGCATGAATTTGTGAATTTGTGCATATCATTAAAGATGCAGGATAGAGTTGGATGAATATGTAGCACTACTGAGTAAAGGGATATACAGCATTATTTCAGTCTAGCCTCAGGCTGGTGCTCAGCTTCACCAGTCCCTCAGAGGCAAGGTGAAGCACACCTTTTAGAGCTTGACATAAATATTCACTAACAGCTTTCTTCATTTATTAATTAGGATCATGAAATTACTTTTTTTCATTTTGATATGGATTTCTGTAATTGTCTTGCAAAAATATCACTATGCACTAAGAACGATGCTATACTTATGTACCTTATAGGATTCAGATTAAGTTCTTGTCAGAAATGTGTTTGCAAGATGCCAAATACATTGTAATTAAATATCTACAGTGACCAAGAATGCTACCATTAGTACAAATTTGGTTTACCAAATATTAAAAATGATAATTATAAGAACAATTGTGAAAAAGAAATCTGATTTTAAAATATATTCTATTAATCTGTTATGACTTTAATGAAATTATCTGTAAATATGAATCTAAAAATTATTGCTTTATTAGTAGCAAAATTCCAGTTTTAAATTTACAAAGGAAATTGGTGGAGAAAGTCATGAACATCATTCTGAAGATCTATTTATAGTCCATTTATAAGAAATTATTATCGAGTTCAAGGTTTTGTAGGTCATGCAGTAAACGCTGCCAAAGTTTTATAGTTTTTGTAATATAATCTTATCATTTAATATGTAACTTTAAGAACATTTAACTCTTTCCTATCACATCATTTCTTTACAGGAGGGTGAGCAGTTTGACCCCTTTGGTGATTCCTTCAAGCCCACATTTCCCCCACCCGACACAAGCAAGCCTAGAATTACAGCAAGTACAGCACCCACGCCTGCCCCCTTGGCTCCTCCTCCTGTGTCTGGTAGAACTAGGCATGACTCACACCATGGGTCTCAGCAGCAACAGACTTCTGCTTCAGGGGGCTCAGAGCAGAAAGGCAGTCAAGAGTTTGGAAAGTTCCCTGTAACTTTTCCAGATGTGTCAAAGTCTCCCCCGCCAGCTCAAAATGAACCTGCAAAGCAAGTGTCAAAAGCAGGGGAGTCACAGGAAGACAGATATGCGGCTTTCAAAGAATTCAGAACTGTGAATAATGGATCATTTAATGATTTTAGTGATGCAAGGTTTTGTGAAGGACAAGAATCTCAAGCCAGTGGTGCATCTAGTCTTCACCAGGCAGATGACTTTGATGCACAGTGGATACAAGCTGATTTCCCTGATGCAGCACTTCCTGGCAGTAAAGAAACTCAATACGATGTATTTACTGACCTAGATCCACTTGGTACAGGAAAAAATCGTCCTTATGTTGACAAGCGAGATTTCTTTAGTGATATGCGCAAGCCAGTGAGACGTGTTTTACGAGAGTTGGGAGATGGAGAGGCATCTGCCCCATGCTCTCCGCGAACTCAGCCAGGAATGATTCCCCCTGAGGTTTCTGCATTGGTAGCCTCAACATCTCTCTATGCTACTACACCCAGATCTATTTGTGTAACAGCCTCAAGACATTCAGCATCAACAAACATTACTCCTGTTCATTGTACCTCTATGCCTTCTCATTCCTTTACAGAGTCCTTTAGTCCTCCTGACTCTTTTGGGCAGGAGGACTTTCGTTTCCACCAAGCTTCAGAAAAGGATTTCTATGAGGCTTCTAATTTTTCATCCTCAGGATTTGCTGATTTTAATACTTTCCCAAATGATTCACCTAGAAGCCAAAGGTCAGAGATGTCAAGCAGCATACCAGATGAGCCTCCTCCACCACTGCCATGTGGGCCATTAACTGTAGCTCTGCCTCCTGAATCATTCCGAGATAGTCCACCACCATTTTCTCCACCTCCAGTACCAAGGTCTCCTGCAAGAATGGCCTCAGGTCCTGGATCTCCACAACTGCCCCATCCCCATCATTCCCCTGTTCCCCAGACTCGTTTAAGCAAACAAATCATGGTTGCAACCTCTTCGCTAAGTCCCAAAACTCTGCCACGGAGCCATAAGTTTAGAAAACAATCAAGCTTTGAAAGTGAGTGGGACATGGGAGACATGGGACATTCTCGTGGGTTTACTAGTGGTGAGCTGACTCCTCCAACTCCTCCTCAGTTGCAAAGTGAAGGAGGCCTCAGTCCTAGGCCCAGACCAAGATCATATCTATCAAAACAGTTGAGTGCTAGTTCTGCAACTTTGTCTTTAAGACCTTCTCATAGCCGGTTCAGTGATGTTGAGCAGTTCTCTTCTCCAGAAGTAGAGAGTAGACCTTTTCCTACAGATGAACTTAACCTCAGTTATGAAGAAGCCCCCAAGCCACCACCCAGACCAGCCCATATTGAGCCACCACCTCTTCCACCAAAGAGGCAACCTACTCATGTTTCCTTACGGCCACCTCCACGTCCACCTCCAACATCAGATGCACATTATAATTATATAAATGAGTATGATTCCTCCCCTGAAGAAGCTAATACTCCACCCATTCCAATCCCTGCCAGGAAACCGCGCTACCCTGATTCTGCTTCTCAACCTGCATTTATCCCAAGCCGATGTACCAAGCCTTCTCACCCTGACAATTTTCAATTTCCGAAACCGAGTGTTAGTCCCACTCATGAGTTAACAGGAGCTGTACCTAAAAGTTCAAGAGAATCTACCCCAAGTAAGTTATCAACTCCTGGGAAATCCCCTAAACTTATTCCAAAGAGCAATGTATCAGTTGACCTTGCTAACACAAGCCTAGACCAACTAGCAGCTAGTTTAGATATGCCAGTGGAACAGTTAGCAAGGATGACAGTAGTGGAGCTAGCAGCTTGTTTGGCTCAGCTCCAGCTGAGGCAAGGAGGAGATTTAGAGGATCAGGCCAAAGGAGACATACAAACACACGGGGTGCCACCAGAGAAACCTGGTCGGAGATCTAAGGGTCCCAGCAGAGATCAAAGCAAAGAACGATTTGCATTTAGTGAGGATGAAATGTTTGCTGAATTTGATGCCCAATTCCCAAAGAGTCCCGTAGAGCCTCCAGAGTTCAGTGAAAGTAGTGATCAGCATGTGACACATGCTGTGGGAGCACCAGTTAGTGAAGATAGATATGCAGTATTCCGGGAACTGACAACTGTTACAAAACAGAAATCTGTATTTGATGAAAATTTCTTGACCCCTCAAAATTCAATGGAGGAAGAAGTTTCAGAGGTTTCATCAGGCACCTTTAAAGCAAATTTTGATGGTGATCTTCGACATGATTCCCTGGAACATAAGTCTTCCTTAAGTGATGATGGGGATGCTGCAGAGCTGGAGAAAGATAAAGAATGGCATCCTCCAAATCATGACCTTGAGTGTGTTACAGTTTTCAGAAGTCCTGAAATTAGTGAATACGATAACTTTGAACCTGCCTTTGATGCAAAGTTTGATGATGATTTCTCAGCTGCCACAATGAGTGAAAAAAGCCTCACTCCAGTGAACTCTCCGTCACATCAGACGCAGCCAAGTCCAAGACCTCACAGGCAACAGATTGATACCCAGAAATCGCCTTTTACAGATGATTTCAGTGCCTCTTGTCACACTGGTGGTAGTTCATCTAGGCAGACATCTGGTAGAAGAACTAGGCCTGAATCTGAAACATCCTTTGCAAGCTTTGATGATAATTTTGTTCCCTCATCTTCTGATGTAGAAAAGTATTCAAATTTCCAAGATTTGTCAAGCAGCGAACAAATCTCAAGGCAAAATTCTCTAAGATCTCCCTTTACTGATAATTTTGTAGACTCAAAGAGAATGGAGCAGGTTGATGACAGTGGCTTTGCTTCAAGTTTTGGTGATAATACCGATAAGTTTGATGATCCATTTACTACTGTTGAGTCCAAGCCTCGGAGCTCCTCAAGAAGTAGTATTGACAATGTAACTAAAACCCCAATTGATAGAGAAAACTCACTTCAACCGCCAGCAGATACCTCAACTTGTAAACGAAAAAGTCCATTTGATGATGATTTCACTAATCGAGGTGATCGATATGAGGTTCTAAAGGAAGTGGAGAGTGAAAGAGAACCATCACTGGAAGGTGAGGTCAGTCGTCTCACAAGGCAAGGCGATCCAAGGGCTTCACCATTTGATGATTCCTGGCATGGATCTCATAGGAATACTCCATATGATGACCAAAAATCAATTGGTTCATTACATTCCATTCATGAAGAAAATAGAAACATTTCTCATGAATCTCCATTTGATGATGATTTTAATCAGGATTCCCGGAAAGCATCAGTAGATCATGGACGACTTTCCCGTTCAGGCTCTGAAAATAGAAAGTCTCCATTTGGTGACAGTTTCACTCCTCCAACTTCTACAAGACCGCATAGGAACCGTGTTCCATCGCGACTTAGTGTGGGAAGTGAAGGAAGTGATGTTAGACATTCCCCATTTGAGGATAATTTTAGTTCAATAATTGGTAGTGTAGCTGAAGAAGTGAATTTTGATACTGCATTTCCCAGCCTTCCACAGGACAGTCCCACAACAAGTGAAGCTGCGGAAAGTGATCCATTTAGCGTCAAGCTTAGTAAGGTACAAGTTAAAGCAGAAGGTAGTGAAAGTGAAATGCAATTTGCTGACTTTGAGAATGCTTTTCAACAAAATGATAATGAGGAGGGTAGCGAACAATCCACCCAGAACCAAACTGATGGTACTCCTGGAAGGACCCCTGTACCAAGTGAAGATGCTGTTCTTGATGATGTTTTTCCCAGCGAAGAGGCAGAGTTCAAGATCACTGCTCGTTATGTTGCTCCTACCGCAGATATGAAAAAGTCAGATTCAGTGAGCATCTTCCGTCGTAACAGTGATCCCTTTGCTGATGACTTTTTCTCTGCAGAAAATGAAATCAATATTACTGCACCATCTGGTAAAACTGATGCTGACCCCTTCTGGGAAGAACCTTTTGATAATTTTAGCTTCCCAAAAGAGCAGTGAAAATTATCTTATACAAAGCACCAATGTTCAGGACAGTTTGTAGATGAAATATACACTATATAAGTGTACTGTGAGAAATAAAATTTAGCATTGAATAGAAAGCTCAAAGATTCCATGAAAATTTGAACAGATGTGTTTAACAACAAACAATTAAATTGACTACTTTAATGGAAATTGTCATAGACATGCCCATTGTACCCATTTTTAGTTTGCCTTTATTTTTTATTGTTAATATTTAAAGTTATAGATAATAAGCATAAGTATCAAAACTGGTTACATAAGAAAAATGGAATCTTTATTGTATCTGCTTACACAATGAATGCAGAGCTAATGTTGCAATATTGTTTGCACCTCTGCTAATATTTACTTGTGTTTGCTTATTACCAAATACTTTAGGGTATCTGTAAACAACATGGAAGACAAAAGATCTTTCAAGAAGTAGGATTTTAAAAAGTATGAAATTAATCAGTTGAGAGGTAATGTAAGTTTAAAGAAATTCTTTTACATCATTCTAAGGTATTTTCTACTTATTAGTGAGATGAATCAATGATGATAATGAAGAGACCTGATACCAACACCGAAAGAATTTCTTTGAACAGGGAGTATATGCTATTTTTAACAAGCTGTGATCTGTCTGTTTTATGCTGTACTCAGTGTACTTTCTTAAGCTATTTACTGTATTGTCATGACATGCTGCAGAATAAGAGGAAATTCTAAACATCTTTGTTTAGAAACTCACATGCCTCATTTACACATTTATTGCCAGAGATGAAGTGATATAATGTAATCTGTGTAGAAGATGTACAAGAGTTCTTTCATTCCCCAGTGTTTTTATGTAAATGTGTAACGGATATATTGTTCATACTGTATATTTTTCAAGCGCTTAAGCTCAGCCACTTCATGTGACAGAATTTTTTATCACATTCCCAACCAATTATTACAGATGTTTCAACCAGTGGTGAAAAAGAGTAAGTTTGGAATGGTCCAATTATTTGGTAAGTTTTAGTTATAACTCATATTGACTGAATTAGGTATGCACCACATGGACAAGGCCAGTCTGAGAAGGCTACTGATATACCCACCGAGTATGTTTTTGGTTTGTTTCATAAACCAGTATGATGAGTATTATAAGTAGCCTATAATGCTTTATTTCTGATATTGGTCACAACTTGGGCCAAAGAGAAAGGTTCACATGAATATTATTGTAGTTATTCATTGTTTAACACAGTCAGATGCCATATTTCATGCAATGAGAGACAGTTTGAAATTGATTGTGTTGTTGGTCACAATATAACATGGTGTGTGATTTATGATGTGAGTTTAGCAGAGTAGCAGATTCTAATGTCACAATGTGAGATAGATAATATACTTTTTTATAAAAGAATTTGACCACTGTATGTAATGGACTTATTTATTTATTAATTTTAACTTACAGAATCTCATTGAGCCATCTGTACCTTTGCCATATAGACATACAGTGGTCCCTCAATTAACGAACGGTTCAATTAACAAAATTTTGCTTAACGGATTAGCTCCCATAAGGATTTTCAGTTCCATTAATGAATAAAACTTCGATTAACGACAGCCTTACGAGAAACACGCCTTGGTGTGCGCATCAGCTGATCGGCTAGTCCGCCAATACAGTAATTGGTTCTTTGTTTACATTCGTTTCCAGTGGAATAAATGTCAAGCAAGTTGTGCTCTTGAATATTTTTGCATTTTTTATATTAAAATTATTGGTCATTCTGAAATTTACCTCACATATTGATAATATATACAGTACAGGGAACAGTTTTTGTCAGCACTCCAGCTGATCGATTCGCCCACCAACGCTTCTTGGTTTAACTTTGTTTACAGTGGAGTGAACAGCCAGTTTGTTGGTCTTCAATATTTTTGCATTTTTACATTAAAATTAATTGTCATTCTGAAATTAGTTAACTTATTGATAATATACAGTGCAGAAATTATTATGAAACATGAAGAAGGCATTAGAACCAATGCACTCTGTAAAGAATATGGCATGTCATCATCGACTGCCTCTACAATCAGCTGTTTGATATATAAACAAAGCTGCCTTGGAATACAACATACGCACCTCAAAGTAAATTAAAATACAGTATAGTATTCTATTGTTTTTTATTTATTATTGTACAGTATACTGTACAGTACAGTACTGTATTTAGTTTATATTTAAAGTTTTGTTAATTCTATTACCAGTATACAATACTTTGTGTGTATACTTTTTCTGTGAGTTGGAACCAATTACCCAATATCCCATTGAAATAATAGATTCAGTTAATGAAATTTTTGGTTAACAAACGATTCTGTGGAACCAATTGTGTTCATTAATCGAGGGACCACTGTATTTGGTTTTTAATGTTACTTTTACAAATTTTACTGGTATTGACTTAAATACGTATCATGTATCTCATTTTATTATTATTTGATTAAAATACACTGTGCAAGACATTTATAAAACCAGTATTGATATCTTCAAAAATTATTACAAGGAGCAAAACACATTTTTAGGGAATGGATTAAGCTATCACTATTTTATGGTCTCCTTCTTATCCAGGTGGATGATAATGTGATGATTCCCCTCTCATAAATCTCAAGACATAAACTCAGAATATTATTACACAAAATCTTAATGATGTAGGAATTGTGTTTTTTGTGCATGTTTATTTCATGATATGTGCATGCATGACATGTAAAGGAAGCATAAACAAATGAATTTAGACATAAATCCTTAATAACTGGACACAGTATGTGTGAGCTGTGGATAAAAAATTTTGTGTAATAAATATTAAGATGAACAAGGACACTGAGCAATCCTCCTCATATCTCCTTGTAAATGGAAACTAAGTATCTGACTTTTTTAACAATTACTCAAATACTGTTGAAACTTGACAATGGTTTTATTTTAATTATCCTCACTGACTCGTATGATATTTCAAGAAAATTACTTCGACCCACCATGGCAATGAAGTATTGTTCCACTTATCGGCAGGAGAGTTGGGCAATTGAGGGTCTGCCCTGATCAGTAAGACTGTTATGGTAACCAAAACTTAGAACCCTAAACTGCTCAGGCTTCTGATACTCTGTACTCCTCACTCATGAACGTATGTTCCATGATGAAGGAGTTCATTTTTATAACCATGTCTAAAGATAGATTATTAATTTATTATATAGTTTCTGTACAAATATTGTAACTCAAGTAATAGTAATAACAATAACAAGTTAGTTATTGTGTTTATTTCACCTTTTTAATTAAATGTAGCATGTGCAAATATCATGTAAGAAGTGAAAGGAATATTATAATAAGTATGATTTTTATGTATACAATACAGTACTGTATACTGCAATGTTATTTTTTAATGGTCTAATCAGTGTTAATACTGTAGTTCCTATGTACAGGTATATATCTCACTGCTAAATGCCATGAATGAATGACACTGGAAGTAATTATGAAATATTCGCTGTAGGATTGTTGTTAACATTTGACACCATTTACATTTATCATAAATTTGAGTGATAAGATTGCCTTTCAGTCTGGAATATACTGTACATAACTTTATTAAAGACACCAATATGTGTTGGAAGTCAAAACGTGCATTTGCCTCCCAAATTCTCATTACAATAATAATTAGTTTTTTTATAGTAGTAGATCAAGAGTGTTGGTGATACAATGGCAACATGTATATCTCTCACCAATATGTCAAGAGCTCAAGTCTTGCTTGGCTCGGACTCACTTGAGAAGGGCGTTACCCAGTGTGACCCTACCAAACATCACATGTTTCTCAGACTCCAGTTTTCTCCTGTACTAACACTGAATAGACTAACTGCCCTTTGGCTAGTAAGCTGATAAGTGGTTAAAAAAAAAGGAGAAAAAGAGCGATGCATGTGTTTGAATGTAGAGGGGAGAGCTAGGGGTAGGTAAAAATTGATGCGGAAAGGTTGTAGGAAATTATTTCAGAGATAAAGACTGGACAAGAGAGGCTGCAAGAGATTGTACAACAGGGAAAATTTGCTTCAGGTACTGTAATTGCTTCTAACCCACACTAGCGTAGAAAATGGCCGTAAAATGATGGTGATGTTGACTGTCCAGTTATATGTTGTTCTTTTCAAAATAGATCTCCTTGCCCTTAATAAACTTTTTTGTTTTACTACGGTATAGTAAAGTTAAGGTGAATTGTTATGTAGAGTGAGACCTTTACTTTACTTTATCCTCTTTGCCACTGATCAACCTATTAGCCAATTGAGCAGTTGGTCACATCTCTGTTATGCACTGTTGGCAAGTACTGGAGCCAGTGATGGTCTTGAGTGAGCTCACACTTGGTGCCATCACAATACTCTCTCTGGTAAACTGTTTCAGAAATTCACAACTCTCACTCAAAAAAAGTTGTGGCTTCTTCAACCTGAAGCTGTGGCCTCTAATGGGGCAGGCATCTGCTACTTTCAGGTATGAACACTCAACTGTGTAATGTCCTCTAAAGTGCTTATAGACTTCTATTAAATCACCACTTACCTGTCTATAATATAAGCTAGGCAACTGTAGGCGTTCTAATTTTTCTGTGTACCTGAGGTGCCAGAGTGCAGGCACCAGTCTGGTGGCCCTCCTTTGGACATTTTCAGTCAACTGAGTCTCTAGCAGATCTCAAGGACCACACTGTGTAACAATACTCCAAATGGAGAAACACCTCACTTTTGAAAAGTGTCATAAGAAAGGACTATCTACAGTAGGTACTGTATGCCAATGCTCATCTTATTAGACCTACTAACTTATTTGCTTGATTTACTTTCTTTTTTCAATGTTCTGAGAACTTCAGTCTGTTGTCAACATGCATACACAGATCCTTTTCACATTTGATCTTAATTTTTTTATGTTTCTTCGTCCAATTGGTACATGCGATATGAGTACTACCACTGGTATGATTTTGATGTATCTTTTTGCATTTTGTGATGTTGAATCTTAACAGCTATTCCTTATACCACTCCTGGAGGAGTATATAGCATCTGGCATATCATATAACCCCATAAACTGCGACATATACTCTCAAATACGCACAAAAAATTTCATAGCTCCTGGAGTCAAATATAGGATCTACACTCCTTGTGGCTGTTCCACTGGGTACTCCTCTCATCCACGCTGCTAATTAAACAGTCATATCTCAGTCACAATGGAAGCAAGACGTGCGTCCACATCCTGAGACGATGACGGCATTGAACCCACCCCTTCCCCTTTCACTGGTCATTGTGCAAGGCCGAAGACAAGTGGAAGGGAGAGGCTGCCTTTGAAAAGGAAATTACTCATGGAATATCACAGAAATAGTAGTGAAGGTGAGGAATCCGGGGACGACCTACAGCCAAGGCAGTATCATGACCAAAGCCGCTGACTTCACAAAATCACCATGGTTTAACTAAGGTAGGTAGTGGACTTATATTTAGTTTCCCCCTTTCTTCTACTTACTATATTTTAATCCTCAAGTGTAAAAATGATATTTGGTAAAAATTTATATACCCTGTAAATATGTTTTTTTGTGCACCGGCAGGTTGACAGGCGAATCACCCTACAGTAATTTTCTGGTTAAACAACAATGGTCCCAGTACTTTGACCTGTAGTACCCTGCTTGTCATGGGTACACATGAAGATTTCATGCCATAAATCACCACACGCTGCTTGCGATCATAAAGAAAGTCTCTGATCTACACTGGGATGATCCCCCAAATCCCATACCCTTCCAGTTTAATTTTCAGTCTTTCATGAGGTATGCTGTCAAAAGCTTTGGCAAGTCTAGATATATACTGCAGTATCAATATTGCTAACATGCTCCAAAATCTGTGTCCACACATACAGTGCCTTCAGTAATTGCATCAAGCAGGTGTGTTCAGATATAAAACCATGATAGCATTCCTTTGCAAGATTGTTTTGTAATACAGGTAGTTTTTTCTTTTTTGAACTTGTCATTACTTTCATATGGAGAATGAAACAAATAAATTGGTGGGTGTGGAGTGACTTAGCCTCAGGATGGATTGGTTTCAATCAATGGTTAAAACTACAGAATTTCACATCAATTTGTTTTCTCTATTCTGCATGTGCATACCTAAGGCTACTTGTCCTGTACTGAACAGGTAGCAGGTAAGTAGGATTGCAGCTATACTGTGCCACATATGTGACATGAACTGACATCTGGTTGTTGCTCAGTTCACTTTATGCTTCAATTGTGGGAGGGTGTGACTGTGTCAAAGTCACTACCCTAATTGTGTTATTTTGTAGTGATATCTAGTTTAATTCCTATATACCGGTATACAGGTAAAATAAACTTATAAAATGAAGAATATATATCAGCATATTACACCAAATCACAAATTGTTCAATACTTGTAAATCTTTTTGGTGACTAAAGGAAATCCAATAAAATAATAGATACAAATTCCTTAAATTGGTTGGATTATGCTGTATTAACACATGATTATACTGAATAATGCAAACATTTTAAGTACAGTGCAGGTATCCCCCAATTTATGAAGGAGTTGCGTTTTTGTATAGGGGATTCTTCCTCTTTATATTTTACTTTAATCTTCTCTTTATCGCATTACTTTTAAACAACTACTTTTCTTTCATTTTTTTACTTTATTAATTCCATATGTTAGCTATTTCCTAGTTACTTTACTTCTCATAGATACCCCCTAACCTCTGACCTGTGGTAGCATGGCTCGAGGGTTAGGACACGGAGGTTTACTGTAATTACTGGGACCAACATATGGGAAGAGACAGGTGAATACTGCAGGAGAACATACAATAAAAATGGTTTATTAAAATGATGTTAGACTTATGACTACTTTCGGTAACACACAACTACAAGGATCTACTCCATGGCTCCTCTCAATTTGTACTTTTCAACTAGGTACATCTTCCAACACCAACACACACCAGTACTTGGTTTACTTTTAAAAACACACAACACTATAATCTTACATATAGCACACTTGAGCACCATCAATACGGGGTACCTGAGAATTGTAGCTCTTGCTTACTAGCAGGACTCTTAGTAATAGCACCAAATTAATACCTCAATAGCACCAGGACTAATAACTTCCCTGAGCTACTGTGTTGCATTCGCCAAAAAGTAAAGTGGCGACCCTCATACACTTGCTCACCCCAGACATCCATACAGACACCCAATAAATAACTCTACTTAATGGTGGACTCATAACAATGCTATGAGCTGGTCGTGTTTACTCCTCACATGAGATCAACAGGTGGACAGCAAAACACATACTGGCCACCACCTCTGAGCGGCTGGCTGTATGTGAAATCTCAGCTCACCACACCACCATGTTACACAGTGCTATCCAATCTCAATGGCCTTCATCCACCTCCATACTGGTGTTGGACGTTGTCCTGGTCTATCAGGCACCTGTTATACAGAGAGAAGTCGGCTTGACAGTGAGGACAATGTAATGATTGTTTATCAGACCACAGCTTACAGCCCAGAGAAAGACAGCACATATAACAGTAAGTAGATGCCAACGTGGTAACCTACAGAGGTTAACACACCCTATAGTGACAGTAAGACCTGACCCAGGAGAGGTCACGGACAAGATACTTGAGTTAACCTGCGATATGACCGTGCTACAACCACACCTGGGCAAACACAGCTGTCCAGACCTGACCCAAGAGAGGTCAGTCTTATTGACCCAGAGTTCTCACTGCCACACGATTAGCTTAACCCTGCGACATGATCGTGTGACTTAAGAAGCAACCCTCCAGCCAGTACACCTATCAAGACACACCCATGCTAGGGTGAGGTCACCTGCCAGCTGGTGACTGCCAATATATAGGCCCTGCAGCTCATTCCAGGGGGCATCACTTTCACATCACTATCGACAGAAGAGGGAGTCACACTCGTCACTAGTCGAAGTCGGGAGGGAGACTTCCGTCCCCAGCACCGCGTCTTCAGCTAGCAGAGTCTCCCATAGGAGAATCATGCTAAAATTTGGGCTCCTTCTGAGTTGCCGCACCTTGGTATAAAAGGTTGTTGGCAACTCTGCAGTTCGCTCTGTCCCTGTGGCTGCTCCCCTTAGCGTACCTCCCCACGAACTGCGCATATGTTTATCAATTTTTTCACAAACAATGATTAGAGATATATCTAGCCTTTACAAATTGTAGGTAATTGTCTATTGTGCAATATGTTTGCTGTTATTTGTTTGTTTACTTTCTGTTTGCTACAAAACAAAGAA